CGGCCCACTCGAGCCTTCTGCTGCGGCGCTGGCGAGGCGTTGTGTTTCGGTTTCGAATGCGGTCGGGTGCTTGGCGAGGATCGCGCTGGCGCTGTCGAGGCCCTTGAGGTTGGGTGCCAGGAAGGAGAAGGTGAGCGGGCTTCGAGAGGGAATATCGTGCTGCAGGATGTGCTCGAGGATTTCACCCGAGTTGTTCATCTATGACTGTAGTGTTAGGCGCGATGGCTTCGCGAGGGCGTCCCAGGGGGGCAACGGCGGGGAGGTGCTGCGGGGTTGGCTTCGGCGCCTCTCACCTGCGGTACCCATTTCGGCGACACGAAGGCACCGGCCTCAATTGACGATAATCCCGTTTTTGCTAAACGCTCAATTAAATCGATCTTTGTCGCTAGCGGGATCGACTTCTTCTCGTTTTGTAGACCGTCGCGCGCGCCGACCTCGACAAGCTTGACGTGGTTGTCCAAGCGCTGCTGGGAAGCACCGTCTGGGGTGCTGCTCGCTGTCGCGTACCGGCGAGCGGCAGAGACCTGGCGAGGACAGGATCGGGGGAGATAACGGGAGAAGAGCGTGAGCCTCGCCATCGTTGTGGTGTTGTTTAGCCCATGGGGTTCTGATGATGGCAGCAGACCAGAGCGTTGCCGATTGCTGCGGGTGATGTCCAGAGCTTGGCGAGGAGTGACGTTGCCGCATAGCGTCGGGATTGGATATCCCTGTTTCCGTCACGTGCTCGGCATTGAAACCGAAAACCGAGGCCTTTTGACAAACATGGAAGAGCAACTGCTTCAACAAGTGTTATTGCCGTGGCGCTGTCTTGTTGGTATGTCATGATTTACATTGGGGGTTGCGATGGTTTCTGACTGGCAAGCCTTCCAGGTTTGCAAAACAGCTTTCAAGCCCAGCGGGGGTGAATCAATGGGGACCGAAGCCACCTCACCCTCTCACCAATTGCGAACCCTTCCCGAGACCCGAAAGTCATTGCTGGGTTTGGAGTTTCCATTCAGGTGCGAACGCTCCAAGGCCTCCTATAGTTCCATTCTTGTTGTTCATTTTCTGATATTGCTGTGCTTTGGTTCGGGCGAGGTCTCAAAGAAGACAGAACACGCACGCGCGAGTCAAGCCACCGCCCAATATCCAGCAACTGGCGGAGCTCAAGCTTCCATCAACACCAAGGCTCCATCACAAGTCCCACATTTCCACCTCAGACAGCCACCAATTCCCAGGGCGACTAGTATAGTGGTCAGTACAGTTCGTTGTGGTTTCCAACCTCATTCCGAACAAACCCAGGTTCGATTCCTGGGTCGCCCATTTTTGCCTGGTCTTGCTTGCGGTTCAGGATTCGTACAGAGTCGGTTTTAGGCATGGCTTCAGAAGGACTGCGCATACGCGTCGGCTATTCATCGCGAGTTGCGTCCGCGTTGTACCGGGCCCGAATTCTTAGCTTTCTGGCTGTCCTACAAGACAATGCTTCAGGGCGCCTACAGTCAACTATCCGCAGTTCCCTCGCCCCTCGACAGAACTTGGAACTCACCCCTCGGAATATCGGCGTTTTGTACCATCTCGTTACAGCCTAGAATTGGTACCTGATAAGAGACAGCCAGGCATCGGACGAACAGGGGCGGAGCAGACAGGAGAGCTGCCCCACTATCATCAGAGCTGGGAAGGTCCAGGAACCCCGCACTGTTTGGGCAACTGCCCCAAGAGCCCAACGAGCAACGCGATGACCGAAACAGCCTTCATCGCATCGCAATGTGTCGCCAGCTGATGGCTTCTCGTTTCGACAACGCCATCGACTCACTTCTCTGGAAACGTCGCATCCGAGGACACAACTCGACATGGGTCGGGGAAGGAGAAGGGAAGTTGAGCACGCCGAGCTGACCTGAACCCCCCACTTTCAACATCACTCGCATGCCAGGCAGGGCTCACCAGCAGCAGGAACACACGAATGGCGCCATGAATTTTGGCCCCAAGTCACGAAAACCATCGTCGCTCTGCTTCCTGGGAAGCGTCTGGTCGTTTTCCCAACGGAAATCGGGCGATGTAAGACCAAAAATGTTGAGACGCAAATTCCCCCACCCGATACTGGACTCAGCTTTCACGACGCTGCCCAAGTTGGCTCGCGGGCCCGAGGCAGACTTTGCCTCATCATCGGCAAGCTAGCGTGCGAACCGCCGGATAGCAGCGGCGCACTCAACAAAGCATGGTGAACACCAAGTTCCAACACACGGGGCGAGCCTGGTGCTTTGACCGTCAAGGTCAACCCGTTCGAGGGGGAGGGAGCCAACAAGGCTGTGCCGAGTGCTCCGACTACCACATTGAGGCCCGACTGTTCTTCCTCGAAGCATCCGCCATGCTGCCTTGATCGCGATCATCTGGTGCTGACAACCCAAGGCGGACTGCAGCTTGTCTCCATGGCCCAGAATGGGCGTACCAGTCGGAAGCACTCCACTGTGCTCCGGAACGCAGGGGAGGCATTCCGCGATGCCTGGTACCTGGACGCAGCGGGGGCGATACTTTTGTCTGACAATGTCTTTGGTCCGGCATCTCCAAACCGAAGCACAGAGGTGCCAGACACAGCGAGGCCAAGGTCAAACGGTGAGTGCGCGGAGCACACGTGTGGCGGCGGTGTGGGAGCAGGGATCAGAGGATGGAGGGGCTATTGGGCAGAAACCACAACTTGCCGCGCCGGCATCAACAATTTCGTCGCAGCGACAAAATCTATATTGTCGCAGCGATACTTTTCTCAATCTCTCGAATCCTTCTTGACTCTGATCCCTCCCGAGCCTCAGCAGCTATGAACACCCTCCGAATCCCTCTTCGGTATCGTCTAGACGGACTCCGTGGAAGCAACAGCGCGTCGACGACTTCGTTGAAGATTGTCAGCTTGGAGCCTTCGAGTCCGTCTTGCTGCGTTCCATGTCGTCTTCCAACACGAACGGGTCTTTACAGGTATGCGCAGCCTCGCGCGATGTTTGATCTGGCATTCTGAATTCGATAGCGTCAATTCTCGCCGTCGAAACACAATACGAAAACGTTGAGTTCAACACACAACGCCATCAAGACATACCACATTCTCAGACTCTGTTCCGACGACCCCGAGAACGACACCACAGCGAAAGATCTGATTGACCGAACAGAGCGCCACCTGAACACCACTGACGGTCACCAGTCAGATAGCGAATCACTCGTGGCAGAGTATTACATTGAACGGACATCGCGGCGGATCTGCAACGTGCTGAGGAGGTTGGAGCTTTCGGACCACGAAGTATTGGCTAGTACGAGTGGCAACGAGATCTTTCGCAGGCCGTCGAGAGGTCGAGACAAGGCTTCTAAGAAAAGAAAACGCCAACCGGAGAGTCTGCTGCAACCGTTCAATGAACAACAGGCGCGCCGGTCATGATCAGGCGTCTGGTCCTTCTGTCCAAAACTCAACGTCTAGGAGGAGGCGCGGAGGCTCGAGGTCCTCTAGGGCCGCCGATGTCAGTTCGGCTGAACGAGGGCGAAAGAAAAAAGGCCATCAGCTCCCTTGCCCTATTCGAATTGGTGCACCCGAGCGCTATGCCGAAGTCACAAAGAATTGCAGAGAAGATCAAATGTTTGACGGTGTGTCTAAACTGAGGTAAGCAACTTGGGGATTGGTTTGCTTTTCGACGGCCACTAACCTTTGCTCAGAGAACACCTTGAGCGTTTCCATTCTCCCCATCGCCGGTGTCCCCATTGCGGGAAGCTATTCCCGGAGGCGACAAAGAAGGATCTGAGCAATATCATGTCTACTCACGCACTATCATGTCCTTCGCGTTCGGCACCCCCAGTTGAGGATAGGTCGAAACCCACCGCTATGTCAGAAGACCAACATGAGCGGTTAAAAGGGTGGGCGGGGAAGCTGAAGGGCGGTCCACGCAAAGGGGAGAAAGATAAAGGAGGCGGAGCGGTCAGCCAGCACTATGCGATCATCTGGGAGATCCTCAACCCAGATATTCCTGTCCCTGGCTTCTGTAAGTACCAACGCTAGCCACGCTCCTCTCGGTCATAAGCTGATGCAATTGAAGCACGACCAGCAGGGTCGGTTGAACCCCACCAATCGACTCCCTCGGTGTTTCAGAGACAGGGGGAGAGCAGCAGTCAATTTTATTTGGAATTTGGCCGCGAGGTGCCATTACTGACTGTGGAACAACCATCAAATGGTTACGAGGCCAACTTCACCGACAGTCTTCAGGGCTCTTGGCCGCAATCGGGGGATGCTGGAGAAAGCAATCAGTTGGCCCGGACTTACCGCAGCGCCAAAATACCGCAAATTGCGATTTACAGTCCTTTCTCGCTGGATAGACTTCACCCAGACGACCTCTCCCAGGCACATTTTGCTCCATCCAGCTCCGGATCACCGTCGATAGCCCTGTCAGACGATTCTGGCAGCACCGGTGTGATCTTTCGACAGCCTTCCACGCCCACGTTGGCGCGGGAAGAGCGCGAACCAAGATACTATGGGAACGACCAGTTCCTCGGGATGGACGCCGACTTCCACTTTGAAGAAGATTCAACCAGCGGCATCTCTCTAGGCGAACACTTAACTGTGCAGCCCATGAGCAATGTGCTGCGACCTCAACACGATGCTTATCTCGGACTGCATAGGCCAGGCTGCGATTGCCCAACTTGTTACTTCTGATGAAGCAGCACTTCAGTGTCCGCATGGGCCAAAACACCTGGGTGGTATTTGGCAGGCGTTGCTAGAGGTTTCTTTCAGGATAATGCAACAATACACTTGTTTAAACCGTGTCGTTTGATCTTCCTTCCAATCAGATGGAACATAGCCAGTCCGCATTGCGTATTGTAGGGTCACAAAACGCACGAGCCGAGGCGTGCGTTAACTTGTATTTTCTCTTTGACCCCTGAGTTGACACCTCAGGCGTGGGTGGTTGTCAGAGTGACAAAAAAAAGGGTGGGGTGTGCGGGGTATACCGTCTTGGGATGGATTTGCGACAAAGTCTTTCACCAATCAACCAATTAACGGTTGTGTAGTGTAGCGGTTATCACTCCGGATTCTGATTTCATGACATTCCGGCAACCCCGGTTCGATTCCGGGCACGACCTACATTTTTGCGAAGTTTTTGCACTTCTTCCGTTTGTGTGGCACTGCCCGTTTGGCGGTTTCTTAGACCTTGCATTAGACGCTGTCAGTTTTTGGCCATCGACACCGCGAGTCTCGCTGCCTGCCAAACCATCCCGATTGCGTACCCTGCACCGCTTACGGCATGCGCACCGGCGTTGCTCCCCGACACCTCCTGGATGTCGCGACGTCGATTTCTTGCCGGATGCTCGGACATGTCAGGCACCGCGTCGGGCCGAACCTGCTGAGGAAGGCGCAATTGTCCCAGACTGCTCCACATGATCTCTGCATAGCTCGACTCTCACGAAATGCCACCGACTTTTGCTCCGCATTCGTTTTTCTCAGATCCACACTGTTGACATCAAGAACGTCTTTGCCTGCATTGAGAACAGCGCTCCGGTATTTGCAGCCCAATGCAGCCACCGAAACCAGGTCAGCACCGGCAAGTTGAGGAACTGACGAGCCAAGGAGCTCGCCGTCGCGACCAAATGCAGGTCCAGCGAAGTTGCATTCGCCTCAACGTCCTGCACGACCATTGACAAGTAATGTCCCGCGCAACTGACCTTTGTTCCGATTGGACCCTGCAAAGGGCCATCACGCTGCTGCCTTCTCGATAGTCACGACACCATCGTCTCTTGTAATCTCCCATGCAGTGACAGATCCCCATGATGGCGGGTGATGGACTTGACGGTGACGGAACCTAGTCCGAGTTCATCTTGGCAGTCGGCGGCAGCTCAGGAGCGGAGGCTCTCTGTGGCTCACGATGGACATAAGAACTCGCGGTTCTCACCGGGCGCCAGCGATACTCAAGATTTCTGGACCCATAGGCTACTCCTTTGTATCGCCCAGAGGCAGAACACACTGCCTCGTCCTCTCCTTTTTTGGGGTCTGCTCTAGGCGCAGCCCCGTCCACTCTTTTGCTTGAGAGCCGGCACGCAGACATTGCTGCCGGCCTCGTCCACTCTCTTGCGCAATATGCACCACTCTTAGTTCGGCTCGGTAGTAGCCGGGTGGGTGGCTGTACTGTTTGTTTTCCTTTCCTACAGCCAGCGGCTTCGATTCCGTTTCCGAGTCCGTCCAATGACACCACCGCCGTCATTTCGGCGCGGGCCGGGACCTTTTAATTATCTGCGGATCCTCCCGCTCGGAGCGTCCATCACCTGGGGCATGGGTTCCGGCACAGGCAATGGATAGCGCAAAGATCTCCGCGACCAGCTGTGTTTTGACGGATGGAGCGTCGGCATGGTGGGCAGTCGGAGTGGCGGCACCATGAAGGACAGCGTAAGTTGCCCCTCTTACCCCTGAGATCTTACCCCTGAGTAGAGTGTTTTTCCGTCACTGACAAGCAAAACCAGGACGTCGAGGGTTGGTCTGGCTACCGTGTTGACCAGATCAACGTCAGGGCGCAGGTCATTGTGCCTTTCACCAAGCCTAATGTCGTGCTGATCAACGGCGGTACCAACGACGCGACGCAGAATTACAACGTCTTGACGGTCGGCGACCGCATGCGTGGGATGATCAACTTCATCTACAGCCAGTCGCCGGGCGTGAGCATCGTGCTCTCGACGCTGCTTCCCAAAGCCAACTTCCAGGGCAACGTGAAATCTCATCAACACTCAGTACCGCCAAATCGTCCAGCAGCACGCCGCCCAGGGCCAGAAGATTGTGCTGTGCGAGATGGACGATGGGTTCCTCACCACGGCGGACCTTCCGGATGGCACGCATCCCAACGACGGCGGCTACAAGAAGATGGCGAGCAAGTGGCACCAGGCCATCGGCCAGCTCGAGACCAGCGTGGTGCCCAGCGGCGTTGTCTCCTTCTCCGATGCAGCGGGCGCCTCCGGCATGTGCGACCGACAAAGTTGCTGGGAGCGGCAACAGCGACCCCCGTGGTAAGACACAGGTTCTCAGTGTGAACCCCAAGAGCGGCCTTGGGTGGACGTGGCTCAACCATGTTCTGCCGGTGGAGATGATGGGCCGATTGTATCCCCTGGTCTACCTGGCGCCCCTGGCTCTGCGTCGCCTGACCCTGACGGCGATGAGCTCACCACCACCATCCTCACGGCTGATCCCATCGTCTGGAACGCGCCAACGGTGCACTGCAACCCGCCGTGCATCGTGGTGTTCCCGCCCAAGACGCTGGTCACCGCACAGCCCTCGATCCCGCTGCCGACGCTGGTCATCACGGGAACTTTTGCTGGAGTTACCGCCGCGCCAGTCGCGAGAGTCATTTCGCCGCCGCCGCCCTGGCCTTACGGCAGCGCATTCTCCTTCTCCCTCTCCAGCTCGTCTTCCTTGACGACTGACTGGCCGGCGCCGCCCGTTTATGAGGGAGACCCAGACCCCCCTATTATGGTCACCTCAGCCTTCCCCTCCGACACGGCCACTTGGGTCACCGAGTCGGTTCCCGGGCCGACGACCAAAGTGGTGGACGGCCAGCCGTGGCCCGTGATTCCCTGCTGGGCGTGGTTCATCTGGTCGTGTCCTCCCAACGTCGGCGGCATCGTGCTCAAGGGCTGGGGCAAGCCGGGCATCTACCCGAGAGGAGGCCCGCCGCCTCTGCCCTCCATCACCTCGCCGGGCCTGAGGTTCCCGCCCTTCCCGTGGCCGAACATCGAGGTGCTCCCTGACCTGACGCCGTCGTACCCCGAGGAGCCAGAGCCCGATGAGCAGTGCGAGACGGCCATCGTCGACATTTGCACCACCACGACGTCGTACGGCATCGTCGCGCGCCGCGGGGGGCCTACGCCCACCGTGACGGCGGGTCCTAGGATTCCCTTTGCCGGGTTCCTGCGGCTCGGGAAGCGCTAGGAGACCACCACGACCACCGAGACCATCGAGTCCTGCACCCAGGTCACGGGCTGCGGCCGCGAGGACATCACCGCCACAACCACCGAGTCGTCGACGGCGACGGCGGTGCCTTTGGTCATTTTCCCGTCCAACCCCCATAGCGTGGACGACCTCAGGGTCGCTCTGCATGCCATGGTGGACATCACCAACGTGTACGAGTCGAGCAGCAGCTACCTCGGCACCATCTTCTTCTTCTACGCCAAGCTCACGCAGAACCAGGTCGACTACCTGGACGGCCGCTCCGATGTCGATGGCGTCAAGCGGCGGTCGGTCGAGGACGGATTGAATCCCGGTGCCAACATCGAGAGTCCCGGCCAGGGCAACGGCCGCCAGTCGGCGAGGCGGTCGCCGAGCGGGAAGAAAAACAGAAGAACGCAGCTTCTCGAGGACGCGCACGTCAGGAAGATGATCTACATCATCCAGGCCATCACGGATCAGGGTGCCCTCTTTGTCACGGGCTCGGGCAACTGGGCCGCGGGGGCTCAGCATGTCTACGGCTGCCCAGCCCTGCTGGCTGACCCCTCGCACGCCAACCACGTACCCAACATGTTGGTGGTGGGCGGTGCCTTTCCTGACGGCAGTTATGTCATGGCGTGTTCGGATTCTCCCTTTGTTGACGTGTACGCGCCGTCCAAGCCCCTGGTGCCCCATCAACGTGCGGCCTCCTCCGTCTGCCGTGACCTTCGGCCGCGGCGCGCCGTCACCGACATGCGCATCGTCGGGAGGCTGCGGCGAGTTCTGCCGCGGCTTCTACTGCCCGGACAGCCCGATCAAGACCAACCCCGACTTCTTGGACCCGCGCAATCCCGACAGCGTGCAGAACCCCTCCTCGCCCAACCACAACCAATGGACCGGCGCCGACCCGCGCGACCCGGCGGACCCTGGCGTCATCTCCAAGGACCCCCAGAACCCGTTCCCGACCATCACCGGCACGCCGGCACCGACCGACTGCGTCAGCACCACCTCTACCGTGCAATGCGTCGGTAACGGCGGTCGCCAGGCCTGCTACACGCAGACGGGCGTGTGCGTCAAGAATGCCCCGCCGATGCCCACGCCGTCTGTCATCAGCAGCGTCAGCTGCCCAACAAACCAAGTCTGCCTCATCACCAAAGCCCAGACCACGAACTGCCAAAACGTGGCGCGCACAGCCATCCCCGACCTTCCCGCCGCCACGCTCACGACCTCCAGCCCCGACCCCAAGTGGACCTCGGCGCCTTCATCCCCACGCGGCGCCGCCATCCCAGGCATCTTCCGCCGCGATGTCGAGCCGCAGCCTGCCCCCCTCAGCAACGCAACTGACATCGCTCCCCCTGGCCACCTCGCCAAGCGCCAGTCCAACCAAGTGTGCGACACCCTCCTCACCTGCCAGCAGTGCGGCACCGTCCGCTACGTGCCGTGCGTCCGCGCCGAGGTCAAGGCCTACGTCGTCAACGGCGGCACGGATCTCATCGCCAAGGTCTACATTGACGGGACGGAGCGGTGCGAGGCCAGGGGCAGGGCCAACTGCGAGCAGACGTCGGATGCGAATGGGAATCCGTGCTGGAACGTGTTTGGGAAGCCCATTGATTGCGGGGGTGGTTCGCAGATTCTGTGGGAGGGGGAGTTGATTACGTTGTATCATGATGGGAATGTGTTTCCGCTGTCGTTTGGGCCGAAGACGTCGACTACGTATCAGTGGTGTACGAGTGAGTTTACCCCTTTTTCTTTCTCCCTTTTTTGGTGGTGGTGTGGTGGTGGTGATGGTGATGGGGGGTTTTGAGAGGACTGAGCTGACGAGTTGGTGTTTGCAGTCAATATCAGCATGATGTGCGCGGTTGATACGTATAATGCGCGCGCAGTGGTGTTTGCGCGAATGTGCGAGAGGGAGAGGGAGGGAGAGCTCCATTGAAGGCTTGAGCTTGAACCCTAGAAGGATCGCGAAGCCTCTGAGAGGGATGAGGTCGGGAGAAGGTTGGAGGGATCCGCAGGGGTGGAATCGTGGATGCGGGTGGTCTGTGGGTTCGGGTGTCGGCAGGGTGGAGATTTTTGCAGAGACACCAGGGTGGTGTGGGTTGGGGTTGGGGTTGGATGTCTTGTTTTGGAGAGGATGAGGATCATGATGGATGGGAGATGATGGACTTGCTGTCGCTTAGCT